ACGCGGCGTTCATCTTAGCATTTGTGTCTTCTTCTTTTGTTTTTACTCACCTATATAAATATACCCTCATGTCCTTGACAGTACTCTCTCTCTCTCTCTCTCTCTCTCTCTCTCTCTCTCTCTCTCTATATATATATATATATATATATATATATATATATATATATATATATATATATATATATATATATATATAAAAGCATATAAAGTGATAGATATGTTATTTAAACATATTATATAAAAGCAGGTAAAGAAAAATATAATCGTTGAATACGAGTAGGGTTGAAAATCAAACCTACCTACTCGACTCGATTCACAATTATTCGTTAAACTAGAACACATATTTTTGTTGGACAAGCTATCAATTAGAAGAAAAAAAGGAATAAAATATGTACAAAAGGCATAACAATTTGGATAATGAAATAGTTTTTTAAACAAGGAAAATATGAACTTTCATTTATCAACATAGATTCCCCATGTATTATGACGTAAATGTAAATTGCAGCTAAAAAAGGTTTTGCAGTGCAATTTTTCCTAAACATTTCGGTTGAGGAATTCGACGGTTGAAATATCAAGATAATCATTTAAAAAAAATTAAAATGTATTTCTAGGTATTAAAATGAAATAAACAATAAGGGCCCATATCTCCGTAAGCGAATAAATAAACGACCAACAGAAAAAGATATATCGATATCGATAGGCAGTCGTTTTACGAGAAGGGACCATTAAAGATAGTTGGGCCAATAAACAGCTAATCAAGATTTTCATTTCATATGTAAGAGCTGCAGCATAAAAATCCTATGTTTCCAATCCATATTTTTCTTTAAAAAAAAAAGGGTAATTTAGGAACAACCTCTTGTGGTAATAAGACCAAATTACGAAACTGTTTTATTATTAATATTATTATTTTTTTAATTATGGATGTAGGGAATTAATTCTAATATTTTAGATAGTATAAAATATAGTCAATTAATAAACTAGCAGACATTTTTTTAGGATTGTAATCTAATCTAAAATCGATGTATTTTTTTATTTTCTTTTATGCAGGGGCAATTTAGTCACTTTACTGGTTTCCGTTGGATTTTTTTATGGGCCGTTTGTTTGTGTGGGTAAATATAATTTCACAAACAAGAATTTTAATTTACCCAAATATACAAATAAAAAATAAATAAATAAAGACAACTCCTAAAAAATATTACAACCAATTAAGGAAAAGAATTGCAGTAATACCTGGAATGCCCCCAAAGAAAAGCACAAGCTAGCATGACTGTGATCCATCAGAAAACTCAAGCACATCCCAATAAATATTTTACCACCTGGAACAAAATATCAAAGTTAATTCGGCATAATTTCCACGTCATAAATACGATTTTTAAATTCATCATCGGTTATCTACATGAATCCTGATTTGACGAGTTAGTATAAGATGAAAACGGAAAACCTCCAATAAAATTGTTAATGCTGCTATTCTTACTACGTGTGTATAATCAAGAACGACACCGTTCAAGCACTACGAATCAAGAATTACGGACATCAAATTTTCTTATCTAGAGTAAATTAATCGAACAACTCAAAAGCTTATTCCAAGAATACGGGCTCGTATCATTCTATCTTAGTACCTCAAGATAAATAATCTTATACGTAATTCCTCAAATACAAATCAGATAGTATAGAACATAAAATATATGATAACGAGATATATGTTTCTATCCGTTAGAGAACTCCCCTCGAATCGAACTCCATCCGATTTCCTTCGTCAATCCTTTTCTTTTCATTAACTCCCTCAATTGCTCAATCTCATCCCACATACTATTCTTCGCATACATATTCGACAGTAGAACGTAAATCCCAACATTATTCGGATCCAACTCGAGAGCTTTCCGAGCAGCAATCTTCCCCAAATTGACGTTTCCACACTCGTTGCACGCGTTAAGCAATGCACCCCACATGGAAATAGCGCACCGCTCATTCCCGATAAACGGCATTTCACCAACCAATTTGCAAGCCCGTTCCAACTCTCCTGCCCGTGAAAGCAAGTCAACTACACAACTATAATGCTCTTGGGTAGCAACTAATTCATAGTCTCGACCCATCGACTCAAAATACTCCATTCCAAGATCCACTTGACCCGAATGACCACAAGCTGAGATAACCGTTAAAAACGCAACTCCATCGGGTTTTATTCCTTCCGTTATTACCATATCTTTAAATAACCTAATCACTTTAGTATAGTTTCCGGTTCTTCCATACACTCCTAACATAGAAGTCCACAAAACAACATCCCTTCGTCTCTCCTTAACTCGGTATCCCACCATATGAAAAACTTTTTCGGCACAATCCACTAGTCCACACTTGCCGTACATTTCAATCAATAAACTCTGCAGAAACACATCAGCTCCAACATTACCAATGCCGCATACAATACGAGCATGGATCTGCTTGCCCAATTCAAGATTACATAGGCCACTACTTGCACGTAAAGCAGAAGCCAGCGTGAAATTGTCGACTCCCAAATTCAGCATCGGCATTCTCCAAACTATCCCAATAGCTTCCCCCCATAGTTTAGCTTCGGCATAGCCAGAGATAAGTGCATTCACGCACACGGTGTTTCTGTTAGGAATTTCATCGAACACCATAGCTGCATCTTCCATCAACGACAATTTCGCGTAGAAATCCAGCAAAGCACTGCCCACAAAAACACTGGCCAGCCAGCCAGATTTCACCACATACGCATGCATCATTCCGCCGTTTTTCAAACAAGAAGCTGATTTCAGAGAGCTGCACAGAGCGTAAGAATCAACGTAAACACCGTTGTAATGCATGAAAGAAAAGGTGTGGAGCGCGAAACAACCCGACCCACGTTGAGAAAAATGGGATATGATTGAATTGAAAGGCAACGGGTTTCTGAGGCTGGAGCATTTGAAGAAACGGGTCAGAATTTTGAGACTGCTGTTGTTGTTGTTGTTGAAAAATGCTGCGTACGTTGAAACGAGTTCGGTTTGGAGGCGAGGGGAAATCAAGAATAAACCTGCTCTAAGAACATGGGCGTAGAATTGCTGCACTGCTCTAAGATTTCTGGTTCGAGAACAATTGTGCAAGAATTCAGAGGTGGTGGTGGTGGTGTGAAAATTTAGGGCATCATCAAACATTTTATTTCAGTGAATTTTATGTTTGTTCACTAGGCTAGGCGGACTTTATTTTGTAGAGCCTGTTTGGCTAAGCCTATAAGATGTTTAGGAGCTTATAAGTTGTTAAAAGGTGTTTGGTAAAAAAATTACAAAAGATCTTATTTTTTCCAAAAATAAGCTGTTAGGGAGCTTATAAGTAGGACCGGCAATTGAGCCGGGCCTACCCGAAGCCCGATAGCTCGGCCCGATTTTATTTGAGCCGAGCCCCATTAATTGTGAGCCGGGCCGAGTTTGAGCCGTTTTATTAAACCCGATTAAACTATGAGCCGAGTCAAAGCTTACCATGGCTCGACCCGAATAAAGCCCGACTATACATATATATATATATATATATATATTTGTTGTCCTTTTTTTTATTTTAGGTCTCAAAATTTTCGAAAAGAGTTAAGGACATTTAGAATTGCTTCTAGTTATTTTATTTTATGATTTTTTTTTTTCATTTTGGCCTCGGATGCATTTTTTAGTATAATTAATTAAGGATTAAATATTTGCAATATTAAGCTTTATTTGTTTTAATGAACAAACTATGATTTTTTATTTATTTATTTATTTTTTAAGCTTATTTTGATTTTCAATGAATAGTCTAGATTTTTCGCTTAGACTGCGAAGTTTTTTTTTTGTTTTTCTTTAATATGTCGACTGCAAAGTTGTAAAATATGTAATTTATTTATTGTTCGATATAAGCCCGATATAAACCCGAAGCCCGAAAAAATGCGTGAGCCGAGTTTGAGCCTATAGGCATGAGGCCCGATGGTATTTGAGCATGAGCCTATAATAATGAGGCCCGATGGTATATGAGCTTGAGCCGACCCAGGCTCGGCTCACACGGCCCGATTGCCAGCCCTACTTATAAGATGTTTTTAAAAAAATACCTATACCCCACCTTTTTTCTTTAAGATCTTATTTGCTTCTTTACTAAAACACTTAAAATACAAAATTACCCTCAAATACTTTATTATATTACATGAATATTAATAATATTTATATTTTAACACATCAACGTATTCTTGTAATCAAGATTAATAATTAGTTAAATATAACTATCGTAATTATCATAATAATTGTAAAACAAATTATTCTCTATTTATATTTTATATGTATATAAAAATACACGAATATTCTTATTATCTCCGTATAAATTATATTTCTTTCATCTATAAAAAAAATTATATTTCTTTTACAACTTTTATTTTATATTATTATATAATTTTATATTATTATTATTATTTGAAAAAATAATTTGTAAATATTATAATAAGAACAAAAGTATTTGAGTCAAATAAGTTTAATAATTATACTGGCGTCATGTACTTTTTTGTCATTATAGCAATAAACAGACCTTTTATTTCCAAACACCTGAACAACTTATAAAAACAAAAAGTAACTTATAAGCTACATATCCAAACACCTTAAAAAATAAATTTTAAAATAAGATCTAACAGCTTATCAGCTCCTAAAACATCTTATCAGATGTAGGAGCTTATAAGATGTTTTAAATAAGCTTAGCCAAACTGGCTCAGTCTTATCTAATTTTCTTAAATTACCCCTGAAGTAATGTTGAATTACGGAAAAACTCATTATGTTCGGTAATTACAACTAACCCCTAACTATGAGTTTTATTACTCTTCCACCTTTTGGCGTCAAATTTAATATAATCTTTTAGATTATGTGAAATGTTCTCTAGTTTGTACGTTTTATGTAAAAAAAATGCAGTTTATGATGCACCATATTTACAAGCCAAGAGACGCATCTTATGGTCATCTTGTTTCAAAATGTGGAGCTCAAATGAGATAAAACGTGTACTAACTGGAGAATATTCCACATAATCTAAAAGATTCCACCAAATATGACATTGCAAGGGTGACGTGTAAGAAAGTACATAGTTGATTGGTGATTGTAATTACCAAATAGAAGGGTATTTTTATAATTTGGCATTACTTCATGGGTTGCTGTAATTTACCCTTTTTTAAAAATAAAGATTTGGCTTGAATATTTGATAAAAACTTGAATATTCGGTCGAAAATGATATGATTATTCAATTAATTTTGGCTGAATCAATCATAAACTTTGTGTTTCTTAATAAATATAATAGTTTTTTTGAACTTTGTCGAACTAATCTTGAACTCGAGTTTTTCGAGGTTCCGGTTCACAAGTCTATTACTTTTGGGCCTGGCTATTTATGTTTGTAGGATAGAAGAAAAAAAAGTTAAAAAATTAAAGCAAACTTGATGATAAACATTTGAACCAGACAATGGTTTTTCAATCTGAAAATGGCTCAAATCAAATATAATCGAAAAAAATATCACCGGTACAATTTTTACCGGACAAACCGTCGTCTATCTCTAAATTAATTAAACTACCTAAAAGAATGTCTCCCTCTCTAAAGATTTAAGTCCGTAAATCGAACTAATCGATCATGTCCTGCTCAAGCGAGAGACGAGATCAACGAACGCATCCTCACTGCACGGTATGGTGATGCCTCCCATCGGATGATTGAATCCAAATTCTTCTTCCGCTCGGCTCAGCAAATCTTGAAACAAGGGGTTGTTCAAGAAGGACAATGGAACAACGAAACGCTTCATTTGACTTTGACCGACGTAAACGGCGAAATGGCCCTTCGGTACATCAGTTGCTAATCTCTTTTCACTTGATAAAGACCGTCTTAGCATTTGACGAATAGCCATATTCTAAGTATCAAACTGAAAAAAAGAGAAACTCGTGTGAATTCGAAGCTGATAATTAAATGCGACGAGTTTCTTGATACGAGCTGATAATATGATGCATGTATACATATATATATATATATATATAGATGTATATATAATGTGTTGAAGTTGTCATCTACTAGAAAAAAAATCTAGATACAAGTGGCCAATTAGTTGGTTGTATATATATAATGTGTGGTGGGAGGTGAAAATTGAGAAACATAAGCACATGGAGGAATCACTCACATTGTTCCCTACTTACGAAGCCCTCATTTAATTTACGACTAAAACACGATGCTCGAATTGGTTTGCGTTCCATTGAATGTATACGCATATTTCGTAAACGTAAGTGCACCGAAACTTTCCATGTGCTCCATTTGCCGCATCTATCCAAAGCCAACTTGCCCAGAATTGACAGTTCCACATGGATTTGAGGAATTTCGTCGAACATCTTACCTGCATCTTTTTCATCGACAATAATTTTGCCCAGGGAGCAATCGAAGTGTAAAATATGAATTTTCAAGAACTGCGTAAAGCCGATGTGGTTCGGAGTTTACAATATTTTTTTTTTTTTTGAGAATTACATAGGTAAATTATGACTCATGTGGTGCGTTACTAATATTAAATTATTATATGTATTTTCTAGATATAAAACATTATAGTTTGAATTGAGCTCTAGCTAATATTGAAAACTTTGATAAATAATTGTTAGGGAATCGAAAAATCTATCTTATGTATCTTACTACACAAATTAGTATGTATGTATCATTTTCTTCTACTCGCTCGAGAGACGAGATCGACGAATGCATCCTCACTGCATGGTATGGTGAGGCCTCGGCCTCCCATAGTCCCATTGGATGACTGAATCCAAATTCTTCTTCGGCTCTAATCAGCAAATCTTGAAACGAAGGGTCGTTCAAAAACGATAACGGAACGACAAAACGCTTCAATATTTGACTTTGACCAACGTAAACGGCGAAATGGCCTTTTTGGAACATCACTAGTAGCTGATCTTTTTTCGCTTGATAAAGATCGTCTTAGCATTATATATATATATATATATATATATATATATATATATATATATATATATATATATATAATGCTCAGTCTGTAAATTATCAACTCCTTGAAAGAAAATGAAGATATAAGTATTGAGAAACATAAGCACATGTCACATATGGGAGTTGTCTTCGTATCAACCGAAACTATTTTAATGCGATAAAACGAAGTTTCTATTGTGCGAAAAAACATAGTTCCCTACCAACAAAACCCCCGTCTGTACTCGATATGTGATAGCGATATTTCATGCCTATTAATTTGCACCTAAATTAATAATAATCAAGTTGGTTTGCATTCCATTCATCTACCTATTTTAAAATCTCTCTCTCTCTCTCTCTCTCTCTCTCTCTCTCGATAAGCACTCTTTCTTGATCATACGTATTTACTTGTTGATAATAACGTAATATGCAACATCCATCGGTTTTTATGAATGCTCAAGTTATTGTATGTTTTTTCTTAACTACAAGACACTGATTTTTTTTCTGATTTTGATAACATAGAAATTTCTTAAGCAAAACCAATTTGTTACGTACTTTAATAAGTTCCAGCAATTAATTAACGGGCTTTTGCTCTTTTCTGCGAATATTGATAAGCATTTGATATACGTTGTGAGAGCTTATAAAGAATTCGATCGGGTTAAAGAAACGGAAATAAGACGATGATTTTGTATCTGAAAACGACTCAATCTATTGGATAAATACATGTCTAACATTAAGTAGACATACACGATTCTATACAAATGTATACTCGACAAACACTTCGTTTTTTTTTTAAATTTCGTGCCAAGTATTGTATATGCATGCATGAATCTTTCTTGAAGAATTATGTGTACAGGAAAGAAATGATTCTCGAGCCGTAAGTTTTTCTAGACTATACGACAATATTTGAAATTCGAGAAAATGTAGAAAAAATTTCGAAGGCGAAACAAAAATTGGTTAAACAATGGATCTAGGGAAATATAGAAGCTTCTTGCTTATCAAGATTTACCACAATCTTCATCATTTACTTCACAAACATTTAATCAAACACCTTGTGGGCATATATCATAATACAGCAGAAACATTAATGAAGTTAAGAAATAATAATCTGCAGAAAATAATTAATTAATGTGTTCATCAAAACAATGGAGATTTTTATACGGTTCACACACTCCACACAAAAAAATATATCCAAGTTTTTTATTTAAAAAATAAAAAATAAAAAATAAAAAAATCTCCATCATCTTCTTCTACTCAATAGTACCTTGATCTAGGGTTCATCTGATACTGAATAAAATCCTCTTGCCCACCGTCATAATTCTCCATCTTCGGAAACTGCATCTGCGGCGGCGCCGCCATCCCAGGATAAACCCCCGCCGCCGGTCCGTAGAAAAGAATTGGCTCCATCATCCCCCCGCCACCGGGGAAAAATTGCCGCTGATACGGCGGCGGATTCCCAAATTGGAGGAAGCGATCATCGTCGTCGTCGTTCATCAGAAGATTCATCATCGAATTGTCGCTCACACAGTGCAATTCCTGGTGGTGGTGATTAATGTTGGGATTAAAAACAGGAATATTCGCTTCAATTGGGTAGTGGGGGTGGGGGTGGTGATTATTAATCAATCCCATCCCGATCAATCCATCCTTATCCCTCCTGAGTAACTCAATCCTTGATTTGACGTACTGAGCCCTAACGCTCAATCTGGCGCCAAATTCTCTCAACCCCGCCTCATTCAAATTTAAATTATCAGCCGAGGTGGGGTAATTCGCCTCCCTATTTTTCTTCCTCATTTTCGCCAGCTCGTCGTCGATCTTTCTCTTCCGATCGTGGAAGAAATCGGGCAGGCCGAACGTCTTGTTGCCGGAATCTTTCTTCTTCGATTTGTAGATGTCGATTATACGACGCACCTGGTCGGTGTTCTCCGGCCAAATCTCCGGCACTTGATCGTCGGCGTCGGCGGCGGCGTTCGGTTGCTTCGGCGGCGCGTAGATTATCATGCACGCGCTGACGTCGCAGAGGGTGGCGAATTCGTGCATCTTTCTGATCAAGCCTTCTTTTCTTTTCTTGAAGGTCACGTTTCTTGACTTCTCCTTGCTTATCAACTCCATGTTCAGTTTTGCTCTCCCCATCTCTCTCCTCCTGCATAAATTGTACGTTGAAATAAAACCAAAAAATATTAAAATTAAAATCGAGAAAGAAGGATTGTATAAAGAGATTCCTTAAGGCAACTCATTGAAGAAAGCCCACAGTCAATCAAGAAACTAGAGAGAGAGAGAGAGAGAGTACCGTTTAGGGTTCTTGAGAAGAAGAAAGATTTAGGTGATCTTTTTTTGTGGCTGTTGCTCTATAGATTTATAAATGTGCAGTAATTTAAAAAAAAAATTAAGACGAAGAAGAAGAGGGTTTATGGAAAGATTGTAGATTGGATTATTTAGCAGTAATTAAGGAAGTTATAGATTTTCCAACGTGTTTTTCTATGGTAGGAGAATTTAAAATTTTCCTTTTATTTTTTTTTCTAGACAACGGTCTCTTTCAAGAAAAAGGAAATAATATTCTAGATTCCAATTTTGAAAGTACTTTTTGGAATATTCAATAGTATAATATTGTTGATTTAATTAGATATTATTGGATTTCCTTTCCCTTAATGAAGAAGATAGTTGTCAAATTCGACTAATTAATACATATTCATACAATTAAAAAAATAAAACCAAACAATAAAGCTTCTTCGTCGAAAATGGTTGATCAATTTTAGTGTCTAAAATAATCTTTGGTATAATCAATACAATAGCTTGCTAGCTAATATACAAAATTGTTATAATCAATACAATACCCTTGTATCATATATTCCCCTCTAACTACATTAAATACAAAAACTCCATTCACATTATATTTTTTTTTTCAAAATATGACAAAAATACCCCTACTCAAGCTTATATATATATATATATATATATATATATATATATATATATATATATATATATATATATATATATATATATATATATATATATATATATATATATATATATATATATATATATATATATATATATATATATATATATATATATATATATATATATATATATATATATATATATATGTATATATGTATTTTTTTATTATATTTAGATAAAAAAATTTATATTTAAAAAAAGATAAAAATATATATATATATATATATATATATATGTATATATATTTAAATACATATATATATATATATATATATACATATATATATATATATATAGATATATATATATATACATATATATATATATGTATGTGTATATATGTATATATAAAAATGTTTATATTTGCATATATGTGTATATATGTATATATATATATATATATATATATATATATATATATATATATATATATATATATATATATATATATATATATATATATATATATATATATGACTGAACTGAAGAATCTCAACATCCAATTGATTTTGTTTTGGAGAAATTTTGAGGCTAATCAATCAATCAATTTTTTAACTGCTGCCTTGACTAAATTATATTATATTGCTCAATCTCAAAATACACCAAAATAACACCTTTGTTTGACTGTCAACATTTGATATGTGTTATGATCTATATATGCTTTCATTTTCTT